GGGGGTTTTTTTTTTTTTTTTTTTTTTTTTTTTTTTTGTCTTTTGTCTTTTTCCGTGTCCGGCAACGGATCGCAACCCTCAGTGTCGCCCCCGTACCGGACCGGGGACCGGCAATGGGATCGCAACCCTCGGTGTTGCTCCCGCGCCTCGCTCAGCCAGTGAGCAGGCACCGGTCCACATGTGGGATCCGAACCCTCGGGCGGGAGCGCCGCTGTGCTTCCCAAGCGGCGCACTATCCAGTGCGCCACCGGGCCGGCCCTAAGTGCTGGGGCTTTAAACAGATTTCTCACTAGCAAGGTTTCTGCAAGATCGTCCCTATTTCATTTGTGCTAATTACTAACAGCTCAACCTGTCTTCCTCAAGTAAGGGTCAGTTGAGCCTAATGTACTGAGCATCCCCCCATCTTCCCATCTACTGTCCCTCAAATATTTATTGAACGCTATTACATACATGTACCTTCCCAGGTGCAGGAGGTACAAAAATGAAAAGACAGTCTCTGTAGTTTAGTCACTTGAGACCTCACTACCCCAAGCCTATTATTTCTATAAAGTCTTAAGTTCCTTAACTGCAAATTCTCCTACCAATGGGGTTTCAGAGCCCTCACCATCAAGGATGGGGAAGGATGACTGAAACTATGGGACACAAGACAGACGGCACCCACATTTGCCTGGGAGAGTCAGAAGAGGCTTCAGGGAGGTAGCAAAGAAAAAGCAGGATTTACAGGCAGACAGGCAGGAATAGAGCACTTTAAGTGAGGGTTTGACCATGCAAGTCGTTTTAATGGAGGGAACTTTTTTATAACAACTCTCTATAAGATATAATTTATGTACAACAAACATATTTATAGTATATGATATGGTTAGTTTTTTGTGGGCTTTTTTGGCAACTGGCAGGTATGGGGATTTGAACCTCTGACCTTGGTGTTATAACACCATGCTCTAACCAATTGAGCTAACTGGCCAGCCCTCATATGGTTAGTTTTGACAGATGTACGCCCCCATGAAATCACCACCACAATCAGAATACAGAACATTTCTTCATCCCCACAAACTTCCTCCTGCACCTTTGCAATCGGATGCAGGGTATGTTTTACTGCAATTAATGTGCCTCTTTCAACACAGGAACATTTTGATCTGATGAAAACACGGTTTATTATACTTTTGGCTTTTTTGGTTACCAGGTAGGAAGCTCCAGGCACCCTCAACTGTCCTGAGGTCTCAGACCATATGGTGCTTCAGAAAGTCCCTTGCATGGATGGGACCACCAAGTCCAGAGGTCTTCCCCCATTCCTGGAGAGGTGTGGCATGTGACTGTCATGGCTCAGTGTTGCTGCACATGCAGGCTGAGGGTGGGGACAGTGGCAAGGAAGACAGGCCAGATCAATGAGGGCCGTGGATGGCTTGCAACAGAGTTTAGGTTTTAACCTCTATGCAGCAAGGAGCCACTGGAGAATTGTGACCAAGAAAGTGATTGAATCAGATGTGTATATTACAAAAACCACTTTTGGAAATTGCGTCAAAATTAGAAATAATGAGGATTGGGCCGGCCCGGTGGCGCACTGGAGAGTGCACCGCTTGGGAGCGTGGCAGCGCTCCCGCTGAGGGTTCGGATCCCATGTGGAGACCGGTTCCCGCTCACTGGCTGAGCGTGGTGCAGGCGCGACACCGAGGGTTGCGATCCCGTTGCCGGTCAGTAAAAAAAAAAAAAAAAAGAAATAATGAGGATTGACTTAGGGCAGTAGTGGGAGGGGAGGAGATAGAGAGGAGGATAAAACACTCGGAATCCCAGAAAGCAGGATTGACAGGGCTGGGATGCTCTGGTTGGGCACAGGGTTTAATGAGAGAGAGAGAGAGAGAGAGAGAGAGGTCATACGTAACTCCCAGGTTTATTGTTTCGACAACCAAGTGGTGCCTTTTATGGAGGCTGTAAATTCGGGCAAGTGAGGAGCCTTGGGAGGAGGGATATTCAGTTTGGATATGATGAGCTCAAGTGTCTGTGGGATGCAAGAGTAGAGATGTCTAATAGTTGGGCCAGAGGTCTGCTCTGAACGTTTGAGGATCGTCAGCATTTGGGTGACACTTCACTTAAGAAAATTGATTCAAACCTTGTCCCAGTGTACAAGCAACGGTGCCAGGAGAGCAAAGGGAAATCATGGCACTGTCTGGAGGCATCCCCTGACCCTGGGCTAGTTAGGGCCTCCTGATTTGGGTTCCAGTAGTACTAGGTACTCTTCTTATCGAAACATTCATCACACATTATGTTAAGTGCTTCCTGATTGCCTCTCTTCCCCACAAGGCTGTAAGCTTTGTGAGGCTGGAACCAAGGTTCGTCCATTGCTGCATCCCTAGCCCTTGGTATGGAGCTCAACACACACTTTCATGCTTGTCCATGGAATGCCACCCCAACCACCCCCAACTAGGAGACCCTTCCAGGGAGAGTGAGTGTTGCACAGACAGCCTTACACCGCAGGGCCTCAGACAGCACGGGACACAGGGGCAAGTAACGAAGGCCTCACAGAGCTCATCTCAGCCAGAACACGAAGGGCGGGGAAAAGTTCTCCACTCAGACAGGGAGGGACGAACATCCTAGGCCAGGCAACAGCATACATAAGGGCACAAAAGAGTGACATGGTTGTGTGTGACCAGAATAAGAGGCTGGAATTTAGGAGGATGCAGACTGGCGGGAGATGAAGCTTGAATCACTGGAGACCTCAGAAGGCTTATGGTACTGCAGTAAGGAGTCGGGGCTTTGTTCAGTGTGAATCAGGAAGCTAGTGGAGGTTGTAAAGCAGGATGTCAACATGATTTGATTACATTTTTAGGAAGAAGTCTCTGGGGATAGAGTAGAGGTTGTGAACCCTGCCCCCGAAAAATGCATTCTGGGCAAGCATCTGGGCGCTTCTTATGTCTTTCTCCAGGAGAAACAGTGTGGATTGGAAGGCACCATGGGAGGCAGGGACGGCAAAGGCAGCTGATAAGGGCCACCCCAGTGAGTTAGTCAAACGGGCTTTCAGAACCTTCTTTTGAGGGATCTGAAATTCAGGACCTCAGAGACTCCAGAACAAACCACACGAAACTTTGCAGTCCTGCCTCGTGCCTGCTTGAACAATTGGGTGTGGGCAAAAAGCTGTGGGAACATGACCGTGCCAGCGTGCGGTCAGCAGAATCCTGTCTTACTCTCGAGACTTAATCTGTTCCCAGCCCCTGGTGTCCTGATGATCACTTTAGTATAATGTGATATTATTGTGCCTAGTGGGGAGGTTTTGGTAGGAGTTTGTTGGAAAAGATAGGGGCCTTTTTTTTTTTTAACAAGTTTTCTTTGATGAACTTAATAGTGTATCTTAACAGTACTTTTTGGCCAGTAATGAGTAAGTAAATTGCTCCCTGAACTAGATAGGAGAGATCCAAACACACCATCTAAGTACAACCCTAAGTTTTAAAAGTATCTCCACTTGTCTTTTATTTGCCCTTTAAAGTCTGTACAAACAAAGATGAACAGGCTCTGGACTGTAAGAATAATATTTATCTATGGACATACGGACAGATAAGCAAAACCCCAAGGGAGAAACAAACTTCTATTGAAATAAAGATCCTCCCAGCCTTATCCTCCTTTGCTTACTGGGGTTCCTTTATTTCACTTTGAGATAAAAGCAGTTCGGCTTCTCAGGAGATGCCGATTAAGAGTTGAACATAAAGAAAGTCTGTCTGTCTGTCTGTCTCTCACCTATCTGGTCCTGAATATTCCAGCCTTTATTTGTGATCTTCGTGCATATGTGGGGTTAATGGTACTTTGAATAAACACTAACACTGAGCAGCTCGGGACTCCCTGGGGAAACATCCTCTTCCTCATTGGTCAGTGATAATACCGGGCTCACAGCTTCTACTCCCCGCTGAAAAGCTCCTATCTGAAGCTCATGTGGACTCTCTGGGACCTGAACCAACCCTCTCCTCTCCAAGCACGCTGTGAGCCTTGCTGCTGGAGGTTGCTGTTGGCTGCTGTCCATGCTGTGTGTCAGTCTCCGCAGCTGACAGTCGTGGGAGCTTACGAAGGCACCTGGTGGCTTCCCGGTAGGAAGACAGTGTGTGGGGTGTGCGTGATCATTTCCCAGCACGTCGCAGAGGAAGTGTGGTGAGGGGTGCCTACCTCCGTGGTGGTGTCTTTAGGGAACTGTCTGTGCTTGGATCCTGAGGGCTTATTACAAAGTGGTGTATGGGTTTGGCATGAACTCGGAACTTTCTCCCTTTGCAGGATCTTCAGTAGAAAGGTCCTGTCCTGAGGAAAACCGCTCAGAGGAAGCTCCCTTGCTTGTGGAGGCTGCCAGCGTGTGTGTGTCGACACTGAGATGCACATGACAGATTGTATGCAATGCCTCAGCACAGCTGACAGGTTCTTTCTTTTTACGCTTACCTAGTGTTGAACAGCAGGAGGAAGCCTTAAATATTTCCTTTTCTTCTCACAACCTTTTATCTAATAAAACAAAATTACTGGACATGAATCAGGGAGTAATTCAAATAGTCGTGTAAGTCCAGTACCTGGCTTGGTGCAGCCTCCCTTGGTTCTGTGCTGATAGTCTGGACAGGCTGGATGGACCCGAGGTGGAAGGCTGGTGGCAGTTCCAGGGATGGTGGCAGACAGAGTGGGGGCAGTGCCCATCACTGTGTGCTCAGTGAGCTCTCACTCCTCAGTAGTTTTGTACCAGGGAAGTCAGGCTGAAACTGGCATCAAGGGCAGCCTCAAGTGGGTGAGGAAGAGACTGCAGGGGCAGTCACCCTCTGGGGGGTGGGAGGGAATTCAGTGCCGTGCACGTGAAACCTCAGTTCTGCCTCCTTCTCTGCATTGGCTGGCTCCTTCTGTACTCAGAATCTGGAGCCGAACTCTGTAGAGCAGCTTCCAACTCCCAGGCAGCACACCCGAGACACTCCCATGGGCATATCTGGATAGCGGGCTGCAGCACAGATAAGTCAGGCTGTGGGCTGGGAGTGGTTCCCAGTGAGACCCCACTTCTTTCTCTCCCACCCAAGAATGCAGACCTCCATACAGTGAGTGTGACATGTCTCTGTATCCCCAGCTCTTGGCATGGGACCGGCCTCCAGTGGCCACCAAGTAAGTATTTACCAAGTGAAAGATAGCCTTGAATCTATACTAATTTGTATTTTTAAAAAGTCATTAATAAAATTTAGCATTTAAACTGTTAATTAGTAATTAATTCCAATAAACCAGCAGGATTTTGTGATTGTGAGAGACTGTTGTAATGGGTTGGTCAGAAGGAATATTTGTTAGCATTTTTACAGGCTCTCAAAGTGATAAAGCCAGCAGCAAGCTCTATTGGTCCTGCCACTTGACTGTCAGCACTATGTGGATAAACTCCTCTCAGTTCCCAGGGAGGAACTTCACAAGGTTCTTAAGCAGGAGACCAGGGGAGGGATATTCTTAACGCTGCCTGATTACCATAGACCCTTTAGGGGCTTAACCAGTGTGGGCAAATGCTTAATTTCAAGATCTTATGCAAATCAAGAATAAGAGCCTCCTATCAGAGCCAAGTTTTGGGCACTTGTCACCTCACTGCTATTGGAACTCGGAAAGCTGGAGTTGGGTCCAGAAGGACAGAACTCCCTCTGTTACCTGGGACGCCTCAGGGGAGAGCAGGGGATCAGAGGAGGACGGAGGAGCAGCTTTGCCTCAACACCCAACTTTCCTATTCTGGATGACTTTTTTAACAAGAATTTTTTTTTTTTTTTTTTTTGTCTTTTGTCTTTTTCCGTGTCCGGCAACAGATCGCAACCCTCAGTGTTGCCCCCCTACCGGACTGGGGACCGGCAACAGGATTGCAACCCTCGGTGTTGCCCCCGCGCCTCGCTCAGCCAGTGAGCGGGAACCGGTCTGTATGTGGGATCCGAACCCTCGGGCGGGAGTGCCGCTGCGCTTCCCAAGCGGCGCACTATCCAGTGCGCCACCGGGCCGGCCCTAACAAGAATTTTTAAAAGGAAGGATTTACAACTCCAGCTTTCCGAGTTCCAATAGCAGCGAGGGGACAAGTATCCGAACCCTCGGGCGGGAGTGCCGCTGCGCTTCCCAAGCGGCGCACTATCCAGTGCGCCACCGGGCCGGCCCTAACAAGAATTTTTAAAAGGAAGGATTTATATATCATTTTGAAGACCAACCTTAAACAGGCAGGTATATTTTTAGTAAAAGTAATTTTTAAAAACTGCAGCGTGGAGATCGCCCTCAAATACAGTAATGGTCAGTATCATTCATGTGGCCACCACGACCTGCAGGAGATAGAATGCGGAGTCAGGGTGACTCTGGGGAGTCCCATGGCTGTTGGGAGGCGCTGGGATGGACTTGGAGGGCAGGGTTAGCAGAGAGCTGCAGTCAAGAGCGCAGACACACCGAGCAGGGCCTGGGGATGCTGAACGGAGGTGGTTCGGCGTGGAGTCGAGAGCTAGAGAGCTGGTGAAGCCGATGCTGAGTGTGCTCACACGTGATGGAAAGGGAGTGAACAGGGGTTATTTAGACACAGGAGCAGTACAACAAAGACTGAAACTATCTGGGCAGGAGTTAAGTGTAGACCTTGGCTATCAAGAGAATGAGAAGAGGAGCTGGAGGAAGTGCTGTAGAGAAGTGAGGTTCCATGTCTCCCTGTGGGGTCCCCAGCCTGGGGCCATCTGAGGAAGCTAATATTTCATGTCCTCCTCGTGGACTCAAGGGCATTTCCCAACTATTTCAGGTGTGCCAGTTTGACACAATAAACTTTGGGCTAATAACATTTCAACATCAAGATACAACTTCCTTCTCTCTTTAGACCTTCAAGAAATTTTTTTTTAATTTGAAAGCCCATACTTTGTACTTCCTAATTCCAATTATGTTTATCTTGTTTTTTGAGTTGTTTTGATACCTTTGTGATCTAATGAGAGTCTGAAAGATGTTCAGATTCCATAGAACTAAAATTCTGAAATGCCCTGAAAAATATGAGATGTGTTGTTGCCACTATTTTATCAAATTATTGTTTCCAAATTGCTGTTCTACTCTTCTGCAAACTGGTTTCGGGAGGAAGAGTGACTTTTAAAACAACTATTTTGTTCAGCATGGTATGTTAAAAAGGCAGAGAAGTTGAAGAATAATGAGAGCAGGATGTGGTGATGAGCAGAGGAAGGAGGTAAACAGGCATTCTGAGCAGGGCTCGGGGAGCGTGGCCATGGGAGGAAGCCTGGAAACAGCTCTCGCTGCAGTGACACACAGCTCCCAATTTTTCTCTTGGTCAAAGGGGTCAGGCCACCATAGGCTCTACGTTAGAGATATTCCGTTGTCTCCCTGGGCACCCGTGAATGTGTCATTTCACCTTTCTAAAGAAGTTCTTCTAAAGTAGGGGTAAGATTATTCACTCTTGGACAGAGCTGTTAGAACATTTCTGGGATAACCAACAGGTGTGATTCAGCGAGGCTGGCTGTCGCTATTTGCAGAGGGAGACCGGGAGAGTCCACTCTTACCTGGTTTCTTTAGAGAAACCGTGTGACCCCCTCCTCCTGTAATACCCACCAAAAGAAGCCAACATAAAATACTAATGCGATGTTTGCATTAAGCATTAAATGTAATATATTAAATGTAATATTTTTGCTTCTCCATCTAGATCTCAATTGTTTAGGGTTCTTCTGAGGGAGAGCCAAAAGATCACTAAGGCAAAATGTATCAATAAGGCATTTATGCCGATGAAAATGAACCAGAGTTTTTTTTTTTTTTAAATCTGTAGTTATTGGATTTTTGAGAGCTTTTTTTTTGATCAAAAGTATTTTAGGAACTTTAAAGAAAGGACCCGAAAATTTTTACTCAGCCTAGTATTTAGTTTGAAATATATGCTGACTTTTAACTTTCAGGGCTGAACAGTCTAATCCTTGGTCATTCCAGAATGAGTTTAGGAATTCGTAATCATTTCCTTTTTACTGGGTATTTGCATACATCACTAACCAGCTAGGATTAGAAGGGTGAACAGCCTCTCTACGCTGAAATAGAAAGATGACAACTCAGGGCCAACCTGAAATGTTCATCTTTATCAATTAATTCTAAATGAACATTTATGTAAAAATGACAACAAAGAATGTCCTTTGCAGAGAAGACAGACAGACGTCTGTATTCCATAGTGTACATTTTAAAACAAAAATTCTAATAGACTAATAAAAATGGTTAACATTTTATATTTTATCCATGTTTTGCCCTGAGGATTAGGAATATCGTAGAT